CTGTCTGCATCGTCACACCTCTGGCCATCAATCACCACGTGCCGTCTGTAAAGAAATAAACTGTTCTCGCTGTTTTGCATGGGAAGCATTGGATTCGTACGTCGTCGTCGGGTAAGTACTATGCGAGCCATTGGTCGTTCGCTAAGACCACTTCTCTTAGGGAGCATCCCATGATTTCAACGGATAATCTTTCTTCCGTTCTCAAGTAAGGCAAGATAGTGGGGCAGCTTTTGCTTGCCATGTAATGCGGCTCCATGGCCGCCCCGTGCCTGACACCCTGATTTGTTCTATTTGGGATTGGGATACTTTGGAGTCTTTGGGATTTTGGTCAGCTTATACACGACGATCAGCTGTCAGCCGCCAGCTGATTGCTATGTGTACGGTCGGGCCAGGGTGTTTAGTTCCCCAGGGACCCGAAGCCTATGGCCCACGGGCAAAAAGCCCTCCTCAGCCACATCTTCCCCTCCCCAGCCGCTCAGACAACATCCTCCCCTCAGCCACAGGGACGGCGAACAGCTGTAATCTCCCTCTCTCGGCCGTGATCCGTCAGGTGCCGTCTCTGACCGCCGCGCCGGCAGCCCCTGACCTCCACTCCCCTGCTCACCGACGCGGAGTCCGGCCCGACCCGTCCGCCCTGCAGCGCGCGGGCGCGGGCCGGGGCCGGCCGCGGCCTCCGCCGGGAGCGCTCGGCCTCGGGCCGGCGCAGATCGGCGATCGCGGCGGCGGCGGCGTGCCGCGCTGTCGTGCGACGTGTCGCGCTGTCGTGCGGGGTGTCGGTATGCCGGCGCCGCTCGGTTCGCCATCGCCGCATGGTAATGGCGCCGTCTGGTGACGCGCCGGCGGCGCCGGCTTGAAAGCGACACGCAGACGGCCGGGGCGGTCGAGTGACGTCGCCTGACCGATGGCGCTGGGAGCGGCGCGGCCGCGGGGTAATTGGCTCGACAGGGCGCCTTGATGTCCCGATGCTAACGGGGTGTGACGCGGCGGCTGTTAGCGCAAGCCGTCGTTAGCACGGCGCCGCTGAAATGCCCAACAGTTTCGCACGAGAATTTGATCGATCGGCTTGTTTGCTCGCGTGGTGATGGGATCAAAGCGCTCGCGCTAATCAGGGCGTTTTTGCCGAGTGCCAACGCTCCAGCGAAGCGGTCTCTTACTCCGTCTTAATTTTGTTCCCAGCCCAAGGAATGTAAACGACATTGGGATTTCGACACAGCGAAATGACAAGTTTTTAGGCAGGATGACCAGCAGCGTGTACACGCGCGCGCGCGTATATATATATGCACATCGTGCCTGCCATTACACATTGCTTTACCTGCCCGAAAGTGTGAGTTGGCAGGCGGCATCACCGTTCCTTTCTGGGGATAGCAGTCCCGGCAGATAAAAAGATGTCGTCCGTGCGGTACATACCCATACCCATACCCGTTTTTTTAGAACTCTGTAGCAAAGCAGTCGAGGCAAAAGTTCCAAAGCCCATCCGCCTCCATGAGGGAGTTTCATAAGACACAGCGTTGTCCAATATTCTCATCGCCCCGGCGACATGGGACAGAAACAGCGGTCCAATTGCTTTTAATACTAATCACAGCCCATTGCCTTCAATGTTCTGCCCATTGTTTTGTCACTCACTCGAGCTAGTGAGCAGAACCAATTGCCGGTATTTCGAATCAAATGCTATTCACGAGAGCTGTGTTTGTAGCCGGCTGTGGAGCCAGCTGTAGCGCTGGGCACACATTCCTCCATCTGCGCCTGGGTGGGCACACAATGCTCCTCCGGCGGCACTTCTCCGAGGACAGACGGCTACACCCGGCATGCGTCGCGAGCGACTTACTCCGTATTGTGAACACCACTGTCAACACCGGGCAGGGATGGTCAGGGAAGCTCGCGGAACCTGTCAACGCTGGGTGAGGATTGCCAGGGGAGCTAGCGGGACCTGTCAACGCTGGGTGGGGATTGCCAGGGGACCTCGCGGGACCTGTCAACGCTGGGGGGGTCCCAGGGGAGCTAGCGGGACCTGTCAACGCCGGGTGGGGATTGCCAGGGGGGGGGGGGGGCTAGCGGGACCTGTCAACGGTGGGTGGCGATTGCCAGAGGAGCTAGAGGGGTATCCCCGGGCGTGATCCCCTGCAGTGTCTCTGCCGCCTGCGCCGGCTGAGGTAGGGGGCTCCGCCTGCCGTGTCCCCCGTCCAGGCCGTTGGGGCCTCCGGTGCCGCTCTGGTGCCGTGTCCCCCGTCCAGGCCGTTGGGGCCCCCGGTGCCGCTCTGGTGCCGTGTCCCCCGTCCAGGCCGTCGGGGCCTCCGGTGCCGTGTCCCCCGTACAGGCCGTCGGTGCCGCTCCGTTGCCGTGTCCCCCGTCCAGGCCGTCGGGGCCTCCGGTGCCGTGTCCCCCGTCCAGGCCGTTGGGGCCTCCGGTGCCGTGTCCCCCGTCAAGGCCGTCGGGGTCTCCGGTGCCGTGTCCCCCGTCAAGGCCGTCGGGGCCTCCGGTGCCGTGTCCCCTGTCAAGGCCGTCGGGGTCTCCGGTGCCGTGTCCCCCGTCAAGGCCGTCGGGGCCTCCGGTGCCGTGTCCCCCGTCCAGGCCGTTGGGGCCTCCGGTGCCGTGTCCCCCGTCAAGGCCGTCGGGGTCTCCGGTGCCGTGTCCCCTGTCAAGGCCGTCGGGGCCTCCGGTGCCGTGTCCCCTGTCAAGGCACACGGGCGCCGCTGACGGTACTCGCCACCGTGTCGCCGGCGATCCGGCGGGTGCCGCCGGCTCCGTCCCGGTGCCGTGGCCGGCCCCGATAAGCCACTTAGCCCGTGCAGGTGTCCCCGGCATCGATCGTCAGCTGAGACGCACCCGTCCCGCAGCAGCGCGGCCCGTTGCGCCCGCCGGCGCGCGGCCCGCCCGCCGCCACGCGCTATATATGGCCCGGTCCGACGCTGACCGCCGCATCGACAATGCGTGCGAGCGGGGTGGAGCGGCCGGGAGGCGGCGGTGGGGCGCGAGCTGCGCACGGGGACTGTGGGATGCTGCGGTATGACCGCCAGCAGACGGCGCTGACAGCCTTGAGTCGAGAGTGCGAGGAGTTGGGACACGTGCGAGGAGCTGTTAGTGTAGCTGTTTGTATTCATGTGTTGATAGTCACAACACGTACATGTATAGGCATCTCACCCAGACGTTGGTTGGAAGCCGATTAGGTGCTCAGCACGTCCACGGCTGCGCAAACAAAGACGTGTTGGCCAGGTCAACAGCGGGGCGAGGCAGACACATCTGGGGTCTGTGGTGAGCCATGCCTTGACGTCATGCGGCGAGCCTTTACAGTGAGCGAATTTGTGGAATGCTACTGTACGTGCAAGTACTATGCATTCTCAAGCCGCCGGCCACTGCTTCGCTGGTACAAGGGAAGAGGGATTCAAAGTGGCCTCTGTGTAAGCGCTTATATTAAGTCCCCGAGTTGGTGGGACAAGGTCCGTTGTACAACCGGCTGCCATTGAGCCAACGGGAGCAGAAGTACCACTTACAAAGCGACCTTTGGAGCAGCCAACCGGAATGACTCCACAAACCTTGCCTGAGCATGGGCTTGGTATATAGCATTTTGAAGAAATTATCATTTTCGCTCAGCCACGCCTTCACCACTGTATGCTGTATACTGGAGACGTTTACCACGCGCTTGGGTGGGGAGGGGTCAGTTTGTGCCCGACGGTTTTTTCAACAGTGCCTGCCGAACGGCACGGCGTTTCCGCACCAAACCCTACATGGCTGTAGACAATTGAACAACAAATATTTAAGCGTAGCAAAATTAGATGAACCTTGTAAGGTAGCTGACCTTTGGTAGGTCAAAGTCATGCCAGGGCTGTCGGCGAAGGCCATTTTTAGGGAGTCGTTCAATCTGATGTGACAATGGAGTGTTAGACGTAGCCATACGTACCTGAGATTGCTTTTTAGGCAAAACGCCAACTTAATTTTGAATTACAATAAATTCTTTTGACCTAGGATCAGGTATTAAGGCCAGACTGGGGTCAAAAACCAGCCTGCTTTTTTACTCGGGATCTTGCGTTATGGGGCAGTTGTTGATGCTCATTTCGGATTTATGAATGACAGGGACCGCAACAGACCCGTTTCATGGACTTTTTAAAGGCCAGATTAGGTCAGTGACCTGATATGACTCAGACCAACATTTTGTTCTTAGGGGCATGCGGTCCAGCACAATCCCTAACGCTTACTTGAGTGGCAAAATAGCAGCAATCTCCTTGCTTTTTGGTCACCTTGACCTTTTAAAAGTCAAACAAGGTGGCTCATCTTAGATGAGCATCACTGAGCTTTTCCTTAGAACAGGTATCTAGGTTCATGACGGTTGCATGAGGAGTTCTGGGGGCACTGGACACCAGCCTAGAGTTTGACCTTGTTTGACGTTGTTTGACCTTACCTGACCCGAGCGTCACGATCAAGGAACCTCAAATTTTGACCCAACTTCTTTCACATACAGGCAAGCCCAGCCCGTGAATGTGGTGTCTCTAGCTATCTGAGATTCTGAGATCTGAGGGGGTGTAAAATTGACCTCCGCCGGGGTGAAGGGTATGCAACTGGCCACCCGGGCGCGTGTTAGGTCAGACGCCCTACTTTCTGGTGCATGTATCATGTATCATAGCACGCTGTCTGGGTCACCGGATAATGAGGATACCTTGACAGGGGACGGGACTGGTGGGTGAAGCTTAAGGATTTTTTTGCGTTGTGGCACGTTGTGATTTTCGGTAAATGACTGTGATTGTGATAATTGTGATTCGCGTGATCCCCTAGTCTGTAATGCCTACACTTTGTCACCCATATAAGATCTATTGAAATTGTGAGAACAGTTCCCTTCATATCTATTTTCATCGGAACACAGATTGTCAAATATTGTATTAAGACTGGTTTTAGTAGGCTTCCGTGCTAGTCAACCCCAGACCGTTGCAGTGAGGACTAGTTTCCCACGCCAATATCTGACATATGGTGTATTGTAACAGCTGGTCTTTCATCATTACAAGGCATTGACAATGCGTGGATGCGGCAGGTAAGGCGTGAACACTCAGATTATCGTCTGTGCCTCGCGGCACTTGCATGAGATGCAAATCGCAACACTTTGAATTTCTAAACGTTGATGCCCCTCTTCTTCAGCACCTTTGCGGGTATGTGTGTTGTCTGAGTGGTAGCACGGCGAGCCAAAGCAGACATGACTGTGACGCAATACCTTGTGACAGATGGAGCAAACATCGTTGTGTTTGTTTCGAAGCAGCCTTAAGTTTATCAGGTAAAGTAAGCTACACACACACATAGTGAGGCATTCCCACAATTCAACAAGCCGCCCGCAGCGAAGCCATGCCTCCAAGATCAGACGACGGAAGCACGGCCTGCAAAAGTCAGACAAGATGCGTCCCAGCGCGGCCGCAGCCAGTCATTTGTATCTCGGCTGTCAGTCGTGAACACGGTCTCTAAATGTCGCCGCACCGGCCGCCAGAGGGCGTTAAACCTTTATAGGGGCGGGCCGCGCGCCGCCCGTCGTCGACCTTTGCCACGCCCTGACTCTCGGTGCAGGGAACGCCCCGCGGCGTCGCGATCGGCGCCCGGCCGGCTTCGGCGGCGGCCGCTGCCCTGTATTTGGCCAGCCCCGACGCCACTGGCCTGCAGGTGTCCGGGCAGATTTGGTGGCGACGCCTTAGGTTGAGCTGCTCAGAAAGGATGCACGATGAGGCAATGCTCCATGTCCAAGTCTGTTACGAGTCGCTGATACCGACATGTCTTGCGGACACTAACATAAACAACGGTTGCAAGAGGTGTGGCTTGATGGTAGACAGCTGTAGAGTGACTGTTATGATGCTTTGCCGTAATGCACTTGCAAAACGAAGAATGACCCCGCGTTTTGGACACGTGTCACTGAACGCTAAAGTAAGGCCAAAAGTCAGGGCGCGATCAGTCTGGAATCGAACCCGCCGCGCTCTGGTTTCGCGTCAGCTACGCAGCCGCGCCGCGGCGGCCCTCGACTTCGGTCCCTCTGCTGGCCTCTGGCGCGCGGCGTCCGGCCGCGGCGGACGCGCCTCGCCACGGCAGCCGGCGTTCTCGGCCGTGCTGCGGCCGCGGCCGCTGCACCGTCCCCCGGCCGGCGGCCGTGCCAGCCGGGGTTAGTCGACACTCGATCGCTGTCAGGATCGCGGCGCGGCACGCTCCGGTGCCTGCGGGAGGCCGCCGCTGCCAGGGCCGGGCGGGGCTTGCGCGTCCGACCGAGTGACAGGCGCCAGCGGACGGCCCGAGGTAACTGAAATCACCGAAAGCACAATAGGTAGGCTTCGGGATGATTTCGGTGGCGAGGAGCCATAAATTGCTGGTGGTGAGGCGGATTTTGACCCGTATCTACCAGGCAGCGTTTTTTCCCAGTGCTTAACAAGCTCATGGTTCGCCCGGCATTGTTTCAGTTTTGCTCAGCCATAGCAGCATACGGATCATTGTATGGCTCAAATGCAGCGTTTACATTGACTTTAGAGCATCTCGACTAATTAACTGCACGGCTTATGACCGTGTGAGTCGTTTTGAGAGCCCTAAATTCCCGCTAATGCCTCGAGATTTGCTGCGCTTAATCTGTCGGTTTGCGTTTCGGAGCGCGTCAGCACTTGAGCGTATTCTATTTTGCATGCATAATTTGCCAGCCGGGTGTGAGTCAACGTGCACCGAGGCGTTTAGTTTGTATAATTTGCATAGTTATAATCGGTGGAAGTGAGCCAACTAACCTGCAGCGGACGGCCTACGGAGCGTCGTGCGCTGGGGCCGTGGAATCGATCCACGGATTTAACAGATCCGATTGCACGCACTGGTGAGCAGGAGCGATGGCCTAAATTAGGAGCAATTGATGAGCTCTGAGGATAGAATGAACAGCCAATAGTCCAACTTCAATGCTGCGTGGATCAAAGCAGTGTATGCCCTGTTTTGGACTCTTATTGGTCGTTCTCGTTGACTAAATTGTTTTGTAAAACGTACAGTATCGAAACGATACAAACATACTTTTCACTTTAAACTCTTCATTCATTCGTAGGTATTTGGATACAGGGCTGCAAATGCGTCGTGGCACGTTCCCTCTTTACAGTTGCTCATGTAACGCCAAGTTTATTCGCAACCTGCCGTGTGAAGACCGCTCCAGCGTGGGACACTGACTCTGATGAGGGATAATAACAGAGTTCGGCGATGATAACTGTCATCAGTCGATAAGTGGCCATCGATGCGCTTTGCGAAGCAGAAACGACAAAACCTTGGACACCACCCGATTAGTTTTTTGACGAGGAACATCACCGGCGCCAAACTTTTCATCAACTTCCGTCAAACTCGCCTAAAATCGAAACTAAAGAGCCGTACGTTTCGACAAAGCGTGTGTAATTGGCTTAATTTCTGTCCTACGCCCCGCCACACTCACACCGGCAGCCGGCTGGGAATAGACTAACGGCCGGCAATTTGGGCCCGTCTGATTTACTCGGCCGAATAATTTCCCAATAGTGGCGCCTGCTCGGGCCGCGAGCGGCGGCTGCCGTGGCCGGCTAAGTGCGCGCCGCACGCCAGCCGACGCCGCCGACCTCCGCCGACCTCTCACCGGGCGCCTGACCCGTTCCAGGGGCGTGCGGCGCCGGCGGCAGGCCGGCGCCATGGCGAAGCCGACCTCGGCGCTGCCGCTGCCGCTGCCGACCGACAACGCGACGCTGAACGCCAGCTGCGCTGAGGCGGGCGGGCCGCACGACTGGGCCGACCAGCGGCTGCTGTCGCTGCTGGCGCTCGCCTTCCTCAACGTCATGGTCGTGGCCGGCAACGTGCTGGTGGTGATGGCCGTGTTTGTGCACAGTAAGCTGCGCACGGTGACGAACCTTTTCATCGTGTCGCTGGCGTGCGCCGATCTGCTGGTCGGCATCCTGGTGCTGCCGTTCTCGGCCACGCTGGAGGTGCTGGACGTGTGGCTGTACGGCGACATCTGGTGCTCGGTGTGGCTGGCCGTGGACGTATGGATGTGCACGGCGTCCATCCTGAACCTGTGTGCCATCAGCCTGGACCGCTACTTGGCCATCACCAAGCCCATCAGTTACCCGAGCCTCATGTCGACGCGGCGCGCCAAGCTGCTGATCGCCGCCGTCTGGGTGCTCAGCTTTGTCATCTGCTTCCCGCCGCTGGTCGGCTGGAACGACCGCACCGGCTCGCTGATTGGCTCGCGCGGCAGCGGCGCCTGCCGCATCGCTTGTGAGCTGACCAACGAGCGTGGGTACGTCATCTACTCGGCGCTCGGCTCCTTCTTCATCCCGAGCGCCGTCATGCTTTTCTTCTACGGCCGCATCTACCACACGGCCGTCAGCACGACGCGCGCCATCAACCAGGGCTTCCGCACCACCAAGGAGGACGACGAGGGCCGACTCACACTGCGCATCCACCGCGGCCGCTCGGTGACGCAGCGCGCCGAGCGGCCGGCCGGAGACTCTGCCTACGGCGCGCTGCCGGGCTGTGGCCGGCCGCACGGCCAGGTCCGCCTCACGCTCAGCGAGCCGGGTGGCCGTGGCCAGAAGAAGCCGTCGTTCGTCGTGCACTGTCGCGAGGACAGCCGCGCCAAGAACCAGTACGAGATCTACACGGTGGTGGAGGGCGAGGCGCGGCCCGGTCGGCGAGCCGCTCCGCCGCGCCGCCCGCCTGCCAAGAAGCTAAGCTCGTGCTCGCAGAGCTCGGAGGAGGAGGCGCGGCCTCGCTTCATCTCGCGCGTCAGCCGGCGCAACATCCGCCACCAGGCGCGCCGCTTCCGTATGGAGACCAAAGCGGCCAAGACGGTCGGCATCATCATCGGCCTGTTCATCCTCTGCTGGCTGCCGTTCTTCGTATGCTACCTGGTACGCGGCTTCTGCCGCGACTGCGTGCACCCGCTGCTCTTCTCCGTGTTCTTCTGGCTCGGCTACTGCAACTCGGCCATCAACCCGTGCGTGTACGCGCTGTGCAGTCGCGACTTCCGCTTCGCGTTCAGCAACATCGTGTGCCGCTGTGTGTGCCGGCGCGGCGCCATGGAGCGCCGCTTCCGGCGCTCGCTGGTGGTGAGCGGCCGCGCTGCCAGCCAGGAGGAGGAAGCGGACACCGGCCGCGGCGAGGGCACGGTCTGACCGGCGCGGCGGCGCCGGCGCGCCGGCCAGCGCCGCCCGCCGCCCGACCACCTCGTACAAACCCGGCTCTAGTCAGGCTCTGCTTCAAATCAAAACAGTACCGATGGCTGTCTTGCGGGACCTCACAGCTCGCTGGTGTGGCGATGCGCTGGGCGGCTCGCGATCGTCACGGAAGGGTTGCGTGAGCGCGGCGTCGGCGCAGGTCGGCGTTGCGGCCAGGTAGAGCGAATGCATGGTAGCCATGTTGTTGTACTGGCAGGCGACGAAGATCAGTGTTCAATGGTTGTGTGTCGTTGGTTCTACTGGCGCCACGTTCAGTTCGACGTTATCTGTGTATGAAATGAACGCATGCCAGTCTCCCATAATGGAAGCACGATTTAGATTAGGGGCACCCCAGAAAATATCGCTAGCGTTTCTACTCAGGTGACTTCGACTTCACATCAAGTTTTCACTAGCGACCGCCGCGGAAGCTAATCCGCCGCGCAGAGGTCAGGCAGAGGTCAGGCGAGTTGGCATGTTAGCAGCGATCCGCGCGACCACGTAAGAGGCAGCAGGACTGCGCTCAGCTCTTGGCTCAGCCCTCATCCGTCATAATCTCTCATCGCTTTTCATACTCCCCAGTCTCAGGTACAGCTGTGGACCAGTGGGATTCAGTACTGGACGCCCTGAACGTGCTTCGTTCCGTTCCTTTCATCCTGCAAGCGGGCGTCACAAACCGCCGGCGCCGGACGGAAAACAAACCAGAGACTGCGCTGCGTCATCGTCGATTGGAGCGGCGGTGCTTGATGCAGGTGACGAGCCCGGCTCGGTGTGCAGGCCAGTGTAATGTGGTTCGGGGCCGCCGCGTTCCCGGGACGACCGTGCGGCCGGGCGACGCTCTGCGGGGTGCGCTGTGCCAGCCGCCTGACACAGGTACTCAGGCTCACCCCGTGTCGAGACACGCGGAAGAGGTCTGACCTGTATTCCAGAGGTGTTACATGTTGTAATACACGCCAATGCTGATCGTGCGACGATGGTGGATCATCACCGACAGCTGTCCGGGCAGTTGCCTGAGCGCTCCCTCAAGTAACACGAAATTTATGATGAATCACGCTTGCTTGCGAAGAAAAATTGGCCCAGTCATTTATCGCTAAAAGGTCTTACGCATATGTTTTACAATTTTTGCAAGTTTTTTCTTAGCTGGACACATGCTATTCATTTTTTCATCATGCATAATACATGTGTTGATAACATTACAACACGCTACATCACAACGGTAAATAGCTATCTCTTATGTCCCAAATGTCCACTTCGGGAAGCCACCTCCCCACGGAACGGATCCAGTGTGACGCGAGAGAAACCCCGCGGCGCTCACGTATCATCTGGCTCGGCGAGCGACCCGTGCTTCTTTGGCCACTGGTCAGACGTCCTTGAGATTTATCCGACCATCGACATCTCGACATACCGACACATCTGCGCCGACAGACACCGAGTAACACCGGTTTGTGTCGCTCCACTCTGAGGACAGTCCGATGGGCAGCAGACTGCCGTGTGCACAAACGGCCTGGGTAAAACTGCAGCCTGCAAACGTGCTGGATATGAACACGATTGTGGATATGGATCGCGGAATTGCAGGAATGGGACTTTGAAGCTCGCTGTGTCCTGATTCTCACCGCTAGAGCTTGCATCGCCCTCAAAGTAAATCCAGTTTCACCTGAAAATTGGCCCATATTCACCTCAAGGGCAGGCAAAGAACCCTGCCTTTGGAAAATGTGCTCTTCGAAACCCAGCTACGTTTTATGAGGGTCAGATCTCGCATGGACTTGAAAACGATATTCCGCACCGTCCGAGGGCATTTATCAGTGCTGAAGGTAGCAGGAATTAGCGACCGGTTTTAATTTCCGTGCTGCGACGTCAGAATGAAGCACCGGAAACTGGGAATCGGATCCCATTTGGGCCTGGTCCAGGAGCGCGGTTTCCTCTCTCTTTGTAGTTGTCTGACACCCATACCGACCAAGCGGGCATCCACGATGGGCTTTTCGATTCACGCACACTAAAATATCATTGAATGGTCGGATGTGTGAGTGCAACGTTTTGTTGGATGCACTTTGCCTCTTAAATCAGGCTTTTAGCAGAGTTCTCGGGCGAAGACAGAAACCAAGCACAAATTTCATCTTATTGAACGAACCAATTACTGTGTAAACAAATAACAATTAGACATATATCAGTTTGCCTACCGTTTCAGAGTATTGACAACAGACAACTGCAGCAAAAGCATGGCATGCACAAGCAATGCATTGAAGTTTTCTGACTGGACCATCGATCTATGTTTCTCTAACAGCAGCACAAACGTTGCATTAACAACCGAATTCTGCCATTCGGGGTGGCGTGACTCCGGGAATCTTCTTGCATGACTTGGATGACCCATCCCGTGAGGCACTAGATGCTCAATATTCGCCACAGATTTATTAGCGGAAAAAGACATTGAGCTCTTTGTGTGTTCAGGTCTCATAACTTGTTGAGCTCCCAGGTCCCGTTTCCCCAACAAGTCTCAGCACATTTTGAGCTCCCAGGTCCCGTTTCCTCAACAAGTCTTTCAGCGAGCGACTCGTTGAGCGTCTTTGCCATAAACAAAGTTTTCAAGGACCCGTTTCAGGGCGACATCAGTGAAACCATGTACATCCTAACGCACCGCAGACCGCGTAAGTTGCTCCACTGACACGGATACAGCGAAGCCGGAGCTGGGAGATTGTCCGCAGCAAGCTATGTGCATCGTTGTTTTATGGACTGGCACAGAAATCTGGAGCACTGATCAAGTAATTGCTTGCAAGTGTCCATTAACACAAGACCATGCCTAACAACATGCAGGTGTCCATAAAGTTGAATGCGGAAATGAGAAAAGAACCTGATCATGTTAATGGCTGGCCACTGCGTTACACCAGTGTCCAGCTAAAAACATTGTTCGCACATCGCTTAAGAAAATGGGACAACTTCCGGCACTTCAAAGTGAAACACTCGGTTAGTTCAGTAAAGGTGGTCATGCACATATTTTAGACACATTTTATGAGTGTCATCGCGTTTCGAAGGAAGACATGGTGAGCCATATCTTCACATGTCGTCATTTCATCAGTTGGGGTTTCCAAAAGCATCTTTTTGTAACACAGTTAGAACACATAACACAACACATAACCGCCAGGTCTGCTGAGAGGAAGAGAAGACGAGCGTCGCGGCATGGCATGTCTCTTCGATGTTGCGGTATGCATGTAAGGTGTTTGCTGCTAACTGCGCGATGTATGTTAACTGGTGTAATAACACTGGTGTTTGTTGCTAACTGCGCGATGTATGTAAACTGGTGTAATAACTCTGGTGTTTGCTGCTAACTGCGCGAAACAATGTGCGCCAGCACGCAAGCCTTGCTCTCGATTCATTCGCAAGGTCCCTTCTTAGCCGCATAAGAGGGGAGAAGGAGGGGAGGCACAGCCTACCCACTTTTCCTTGAAGTCTGACCTTAACCTTTTGGTAATGCGCGGAAAAATCAGCCTGCATGGGCCGGCCCGCTGACCTTAGGCTCGTTCCCTTGACCTTGATCATCCGTATGCTGGGGTAGCTCTACAAATAAGTAACGCTTCTAATTACAGGGAGCTGACGCCCTGCCACTGTCTGTTCTATCAGCACTAGTTAGTATGAGCATTCAAGGGAGTCAGTGAAAAGTGGAATATCAATGCTGCAACCGCTTACTACAACCAAAGGCATAATGGAGGTACACCAAACAGGCGATCCTCTCCGAAGCCGTTTTTATCCCAGTGAAATGTACGAAATGTATCAGTAACACGTATGTTTGATGTTGAAATGTCGAAACACTTTGACCAAGACGACCTGTCACGGTTAGAAATAATTGCTTCGAAGCTTCTAGAATTATACACGCTTTTCAACACACCGCTCAGAACATTTAGCATTTCTCTTGGGAAGCCTCCGTGAAACAGGCTCCCGTTACTACGCTATGCCACTGTTCACTGCTGGCAAACCGCGCAGGTCCCGCAATGTTAGCGGCATTTGTTCCTGTTTTGTGTGGAACGGGAACCAGAGCAACATTAAGATTTAGTCCAGGGAAACACGAGACGGCGTGCAACTCATTTGCTTTGCATGCGTGATGAGCGTGGAAAACATAATGTTCTCGTACATGAGGCGAACTTGTTGGTGATGTTTGTTCCGGTGCTGAGAACAGCCAGCTCCACGAATACCCAGATGCAGCACTTGTGTGAAAGCCGATGAGCATGCGGCGCCATAGCAACAAAAACCCGGCACCCTTCTAACTGCATGTACGAGATAACTGTTAATTAGACAAGCCGTTATCCCCGCAGCACTGCATGATGAGACCGGGCACGCAATGACCGCATTCTGGCGCGCTGAATCCCTGCGTACCTCACAGCCTCATGCGGACTATACTGGCGATGATTCCCGCTTGCAACCCCACCATGACGGCGCGAATGAAACCCGTGTGCGACGCCACTGCGGTGTCTTCACTTCCGGTGACCTCGACGACTGCTGTTGCCTTAATGTCAGCGTGCCGTCCAGCCCACGAGGTGAACCTGACCCGTACACGGTCCCACCCCGTCGGCTCGTCTCCGAGCGCCGGCCCCTGAGGGTCGAAGCCCTCCGCCCCCTATCGGCGCGCGGAGCGGTGGCCGCCGCCACCACCCACTGCAGCCAAAGGTTCTCAGCGCTGAGGGGTGCCTCGAGAGGCCTGCCTGATGGGACATGCCGAAGACAAGCTTACTTTCGATCTGCGGCCACAGGCATCAAGAGCTAGTGCTCGACATGGACGGTGGAGTGAGCAATATATGACCGCTGTCCGGTGCATGACTAGTTGTAGACACTGGCTGGTACCGAGAGAGTCGTTCACCGAGTATGAGTTGCTTGCTCTAACGGTTAACATGCTTTGATACTGTCATGTTTTGTAGCGCAATAATGGCCCCGCAGGTTCTGTGTTCACATAGGCCGCGTGAGATAGTGGGCTGGTCAGGACCCCCACCTCAAACCTAACGCCCCATCCACAATAGTTCATTCGTATCCAAAGAGAACCCATTGCGGCTTTGACTGTTTAGAATGAAGTCGTATTTGAAGAAATTGTGTTTTCCTGTCAAATGACATGCTTGGGTGGGGAGACCACGAAAACTATTTTAAATTGTCTGAAACTCCTCCCGAAGAGAGGTGCCCGACGCTTCTGCGCGGGTGGAAGACAAACGACGTTATATGGCCTCAGCAGCCAAGTACGTCGTAAAGCCCCAACCACACACGAGATTCAAGAAAACATCGAAACTAATTTACACGCATGATTTGTATATACAATTGTCGGAGGGAGGTAAAAACCTTACAAAGGCATGCCTCCATGCTTCGGGGAGGCCTGAATGAGCCCATGGATGCCCGCTCATTGGGTAAAATGGCACTACAAATTGTATGACGGTGCTTTGACCTAACCTAACCTAACCTTCTGATCACCCGCCCGTGGCGGGGTGAGTTCCAGTCACTTTGGGCGCTCGCTATTTGCTCTTGGCAGGAGTTACCTGCGGTAAGTGGCAACGGCCACGTTAAAGGCCAGGGCGTCAGATGGAAAAAATGGCCAGTTCCGTGTCAAGCACTGCAACACGTTAAAATTTCGTCAGCAAATTCTGTCGCTCACCAGGAATTTCACGATTAAATAGCAAGCGACAAGACCGATGCAACGAATAGTGTTTGTCGTGGGCTCCGGTCACAGAAATCCACCACTCGAAAGTTCGGACTATATGCAGGAAACAAACTGCTGCGGTTGGCGTATGAGAAGTCCACTAGCGACCCTCCCTATCCGCGATGGCGGGAAACACTGGGCGTTCGTGATGACGCATGACGATGCAATTTGTTCAAAAGAAACCCTCGTAGAAGAAATAGTGCAAAATACGATACACCATCATTTTGCGCAGAACACCCGGCGGGGCCTTTTGTACTCTCGTGGAGGCATTACATGGGCTGTGACTTCATGCCCTTCCAGAGGCACGGAGGCGTCTCGCTTG